GTCTGCAAGAAACCCATACTAAAAAGGAAGATTTTAAATATTTGGTCGCCAAACAACTAGGAAAAGAATTTTGTTCACTGGCAGAGAAAAAGAATAGAGGGACTGTGATATATATCAAAAAGGAATTTGAACCTAAAGAAATTTTTAAGGACAAAGAAGGGAGATATATTGCAGTGGAAATGACCATGCAAAAAAAACCAACTTTAATTGTGAATATCTATGCCCCTAATGGAGCCAAGGAATAAAAATTTGAAGACTTTACTCAAGAATTGGACCAGGTAACTTATGATCAAATTGTATTACTGGGAGATTTTAATGGTACGATTAACAACAAACTGGATAGGAAATTGAAGAAGTCAGATGAAAGGATAGGGAAGTTACCAAAAGTTTTTTTTTAATTGGCCAAACAAGAGAAACTGGAGGCTATTTGGAGAACATGGCACCCAACAACTAGGGATTTTACATTCTACTCAAACAGACATGATTCCTTTTCAAGGATTGATATGATATGGATGACAGGTGATTTAGCTCTTAAAAACCCAGAAAGTTGAAATTATGTCGAAAGTAAACTCAGACCATAACCCAATATTATGGTTATCAAAAGAAGGGATAAAGAAACCCAGATGGAGATTGAATGAAGATTTGTTGGATCAGCAAGAGATTGTAAATATTATAAGTAGGGAAACCAAGTCATTTTTTCAAACAAACTTGACTAATGACGTACAGATACAAACAGTCTGGGATGCTTATAAATCATTGAACAGTAAAGAAAAGAAAAAGAGATTGGAACAACAAACTATGATACTGGAAAAAATCAAAGTAAAGGAGAAAGAGTTGAAGAAAAGACCAGGGAAAAAGAAAATAATCAAAGAGATTCAAATTTTACAAGAGCAATTGAATACATTGATGAACCAAAAAAATTATTGGAACTTGAAAAAGTTACAACAGAAATCATTTGAAGGGGAAAATAAACCAGAGAAATTTTTGGCGTGGCAATTGAAGAAAAGACGGGAAAATAAAATAATAAATAAAATAATAGAAGGCAAAGAAATTGTGGACAACAAGGGAATTAAAAAAGCATTCTTTAAATACTATGCAAACCTTTTCCGGAAGAAGTCAATTGATAAAGATAAAATAGAGAAATATTTGGACAAAGTAAAGTTGCCAAAAATCTCAGATGATAACAAGGTAATGTTAAACAATCCAATTACCAAGGAAGAAATATACAAGGCAATTCAAGAGGCAAAACTAGGGAAAGCTCCGGGACCAGACGGATTTACAGTAAAATTCTATAAGAAACTTAAAGAAGAGCTAGTCCCGACTTTTGAACTCTTGTTAAAAGAAATAAGAATAACGAAAAAAGGTCCAGAATCATGGAAAGAAGCAACAATTTCACTTATTCCTAAGGAAGCTCAAGATTTGACAAATGTAAAAAATTATAGACCAATTTCTCTTTTGAACAATGACTATAAGTTGTTTGCGAAAATTATTTCGGAAAGGCTTAAGATATATTTGAAAGATGCCGTTGAAGAAGAACAAGCGGGGGTTTTTGCCTAACAGGCAGATAAAGGACAATTTAAGAGTGGCGGTTGATGCTATTGAGTATTATGATAAGCATCCAGAAAAAGAGGTGGGGTTTTTTTTTGTAGATGCGGAAAAAGCTTTTGACAACTTAAATTGGGACTTCATGAATGTTGTGATGGAAAAAAGTGACATTGGAGAATCATTTCGAAATATAATTGAAGCAATATATTCGGAACAAAAAGCAGCATTGGTGATTAATACAGAGATGACAGACCATTTTAAAGTTGAAAAGGGGACGAGGCAAGGATGTCCTTTGTCCCCATTACTATTCATATGGATATTGGAAGTACTGCTGGGACAGATTAAGGAAGATAAAGAAATTGTGGGCTTAACCAACAAAGGATTTTCCTATAAGTATAGAGCTTTTGCAGATGATGTAATGTTTATGGTGGAAGATCCTATACGGAATTTACCGTTGCTCATGGAGAAAATTAAGCAGTTTGGAGACTTAGCAGGTTTTTATGTGAATAAAAACAAGTCCAAGTTGATGTGTAAAAATATGACCAGTGGGAAGCAGGAGGAGCTGCAGAGGTTGACACAATGTGAAGTTGTCAAAAAGACTAAATATTTAGGTATAGATTTGACAATGAAGAACATAGACCTCTTTAAGAATAACTATGATAAACTGTGGTCCCAAATTCAACAGGACATGAAAAAATGGGACACACTAAATTTGTCACTTTTGGGGAGAATATCGGTGGTTAAAATGAACATTTTACCACGTTTGATGTTTTTATTTCAGACAATCCCAATGGTGAGAGATGTAAAGATTTTAAACGCTTGGCAAAGAGAAACTTCAAAGTTTGTGTGGGCCGGGAGAAAACCAAGGATTAAGATGAAAATTTTATGTGATGCAAAAGAAAGAGGTGGATTCCAATTACCAAATTTTAGACTTTACCATGATGCTGTTTGTTTAACTTGGTTGCAACAATGGATTATGTTAGACAATAGAAAATTGTTGGCGTTAGAAGGACATGATTGTAAGTTTGGTTGGCACGCCTATTTATGGTATGGGAAAACGAAAATGGATAGTTTTTTAAAGCACCATTATATCAGAAGAACATTGTTTGATACATGGACTAAGTACAAAAGGTTTTTTTCTGAGGAGAGACCACTTTGGATAGTACCGGCAGAGGTTATAAAACCTTTTTCGACACATAGAGGAGAGGATTGGCTACAATATAGAGACATTTTGAAAACTACGGGAAAGACGTTTGAAATGAAAGCAGAAGAAGATATAGACTTTAATTATGGTTATTTACAATATAGACAGATTCATGATTTGTTTAAAACGGATAAAAAAGCTTTTGGGTTTAGGAAAGTATATTATGATATTGAAAAAGTATGGTTGGAAGGAGGTAAAAAGTTGATATCTAAAATGTATAAGATATTGTTACAATGGTATACAGAAGATGAAATAGTTAAGGAACAGATGATAAAATGGGCAGTTAATATGAACAAAGAAATACGAATAACATCTTGGGAATTTTTATGGGAAAATGCAATGAAAATATCAATGTGTAGTAATTTAAAAGAAAATTATTATAAAATGATGTATAGATGGTATATGACACCAAAAAAGATTGCAAATATAAATAGTAATATGTCAAACAAATGTTGGAAGTGTAAAAAGATAGAGGGTTTGTTTTATCATATGTGGTGGACATGTGAGAGGGCAAAATCTTTTGGAATGAGGTTCATGCGGAAATGGAGAAAATTGTGAAGTGCAAGTTCAAGAAAGAACCAGAAATATTACTTTTAGGACTTATAATGGAAGAAGTCAACATGGCGAAAAGGACTTTGATGTGGTATATGATCACAACTGCCAGAATTACTTATGCTCAATGTTGGAAGCAGGATAGAATTCCTGAAATTGAAGAGTGGATAAAGAAATTGCTCTTCATGGTTGAAATGGACAAAATGACAAGGAAGCTTAAAAATCTGGAGGCAGAAGAGTTTTTTGCAGCTTGGAAAGACTTTAAAGAATATTTAGAGAAATATTGGGATGTTAAGAACAACTTAATTTGCTTTGATAATTATTGAAGGTGAATAAAAGTAGAAAAAAGATTAATGTATAAGAATAACAGTGAAAAGATATGTTACCGATAGATTGTGATAGAGGTATAAGACGATATGGAATGAATTTAAGATATGGGCTGGAGGTTGGAGCACTGTGGGAAGCCCACTGTGGGGAATAGGAGAAAAGGATATATGACAAATGGAAATTGTATTTAATCTTTTATTATATCCTAATAAAATGTTTTTTTGGGGGGGGAAACAGATGTTAGTTTTAGCTTGTGCCACAATTGGGCATGGGGTACAGTATCAAAAACCAACTTCATATCCATGAAGCCAGGACCAATGCATGCTACACATGCAAGAGCTGTGGAGGGAGGGATGATGGGGTCAGGGTTGGAATGCAGGTTTTAAAGTCTACTTTACATGACATCATAACTTGGAGAAGGCAAAGTTGAAGTTTAGAGGTCTGACGGATAAGTAATTTCTAATGTAACTATCTCATGAAAGCATATTGCTGAGCTGTGCCTAAGCTAGGTTAGAATACCAATGAAAGAAACAAGATTCTTATAACTTCTGCTCTCCAGCAGACCATGAGAGAACATGTAGTCTTATAATTATTATGTTGGCTGAAGGGTCTGAGAAAAAATAATGGGGACAGTGTCACTTGAGAGGCTCCAGGCTGGGAAATACCTGGAGGGGGGGGTAGAACAGGAGGAGGGTGGGGCTTGTGAAGGGGAAGGACTCCAATGCAGAATAATACCATAGAGTCCACCTTTCAAAGCAGCAAATCCCAGGAGATCTCCAGCCATCACCTGGAGGCTGGCAACCTTACTTGTCTACAGTAATAAATTTCCTTAACTCTTTGGTCAATCTGTACCAAGCAAATCCAATTTATTCTTTGTAAAAGCAGCAAAGACCCGTCATGGAAGAGAGAACTTGAAATACTAGTAGAGCGATAAAACAAGTTGTGTCTGCACTCTACTGTTCTACAGCTCTGAAACAACATGAAGTGGAAACAGACTGAGAGGTACAGTGTTCCTCTAATAGCAGGGCGATAAGAAATCAACATTGCTTTGGATCAATGTAAATTCCCCAGCATAATCACTGCTGCTAGACCTTAGCAATATATTCATTTATTATAGCAGATGCTTCTGGATAGCTCACTGACTGACCTTTCAGAAAACTCTACTGTTTTCAGGCACATCCCAACAAATGGCAAGACATAGACTGCAAATGCAACATTAATCAGGGAAAACTTCACATACAGTGAGCCACCCTTCTGCAGCCAACGGCTCTACAAACTCCTCAGAGAATGCGTGAAACGATGCTGGGGAAGGCCTTATTAGAAATTGAACCCTGTAGCCTAACTGGCCCAAACGACAAATTATTCAACTTACCACGTTTTTTCGATGACTCTGGACTGTGAATTCAGGGCAGAAGAGCAAATCTGCGACCGCCAGAAGCAATGATTCAGCCAAAGGCCTAGCATTTTCATCATCTTCATCCCCCTGCAGAACAAATTATAGCATTTTCAGTGTGAATTTAGCTGTCATTACAGAGCAACACTACAAACAATGAATTTTTGAGGCAGAATTTCAATGAAGGTGGAAGAGATCGTTGGGAAAGCAGAAGACACCAAGAACTACAAAAGGAAACATGGAACTACATCATTTGGTTTCCAATAATAATCAGGATTCATCAATAAATTCAAGATACTGCGAATCTGGGAATGGGGGTAGGGATGCCAGTCCCCAGCTGGGGGTGGGGGAATCCCCCGATTTTGAGGGCTCCTGCCCACCACCAACTGGCTGTCTGGTGGGGGAAGCCCAGCCCCAAGAGCAGCCACCAGCAGCCACCCCCTCCCTCACCTCTTGCAAGATTTCAAGGGCCCTCCAACTGATCGGCTGGAGCACATGCCTGCTGATCAGCTGAAGAGCCGTTTAACACTTGCAGGAGAGGAAGAAGAGGGGCGGCGAACTAAACTGTAAGCGGCGAATTCGCCACTTGGAGTTCAGGCACCAGCAGCCCCACTTGTAAAAAGCATTTAAAGGGATGATTTAAATGCTTTTTACAAGTAGGGGCCGCCAGCACCTGAACTCCAAATGGGGAATTTGCCACTTGCAGTTCAGGCTGCCTCCCTAACACGATGACATCACTTCTGTGTCACACTGAGGATGTTCCTGCCCCCTCCAGGGAGTGGGGAGTGGGGTACTGGGGAAACAAGGCATAGGAAAACAAGCATATTCAAGAGATTGGATCAAGTTATTGGTTTGTTTTCATGATCACGCTTTTTTCTTTGCCCTCCTTAACAAGGGAGCTCTTTTTGCAATTTGGAGATCTTCCATTTACTGAGATAAAAGTGATCATGAGGATGGATCAGGAGCACATTCAGAATTATAACAGACCACCAGTGAAAGAGAGCTCGCTGCCTCTTAACTTTTCATGTGAGGCACTACTTCACCAAATGGCACATTGCTATATGTTAGAATAGGCTCCATCCAGAAACAGTGATAAAGAAATAGGGAGATACTAAAGCCAGAATGGGAGAAAAAAGTGAAGACAAACAGCAGTTACAATAAGACTCCTAGTTGAGCATCTTGAAGCTGTGCATTTATTTCAATATACAGGCTGGCTAATCCTTATTAGTCAGGGCAGGTAACGTTTCCCTATTGCATGGTTCCTTCAAGCACTCCAAGAGGTAATGCACTATCAGTATATCTAGTTCTCAGCAATCCCAGATCTATGGATACTTCAATCTGGAGATTGGAGCCATGAACAGACAAAACAGCTCTTTCTACAAATCTGAGAAAAGCCCCCCGTTTGCAGAAAAATCTGAAATCTTTTTTTTAAAAGCCACCTGGGGTTTTAAAAAACCAAAATAACAGAAGCAGCACCTGTAGTTTTAGGAAATAAATGCCTTCTGGGCTATTGCAAGGCAACCACAACACTATTGCTAGCTGAAGCCTTGTTTTCTGTCAGTAAAAGGCATTGCCATTTCCAGTGCGGTTTTGGTCTTTGAGGGAGGACCAGAGGTCATTTCGGGGGGGATCGCAGTTCCCCCGGGTGAGGTACGGGGGGTGGGGCACATGACGAAGCCCCACGCCCTGCTTCCGGCCCTCATTCAGCCAGGGGAGGACTCATCAGGGCCAAGAGTAGCAGCAGACACCAGTTAACTTGCTACCACCCTACTTGCATGACTCACCCAGGCCTGGCTGCTTGCTACTGTTCAACAGCAGGCACCTCACGAAAAGCAGTGTTGTGCAGTGGCTAGAGATTCAGACTACTATCTGGGAGACGCAGGTTTGAATCCCTGTTCTGCCAAGGAAGCTCAATGGGCTGGTCACACACAATCAGCCCACTCTACCTCAAAGGGTTTTTGTGAGGGTAAGATAGAGAGGAGAATGACATAAGCTGTTTTGGGTCCCCATTGTGAAGAAAATGGTGCATAAAAGTAAATAAAAAATATAGCTGAAGTTGAAGCACAGATAATAGGTAAGTTGGTTGGTTGGTTGGTTGGTTGGTTGGTTGGTTGGTTGGTTGGTGAGTGAAAAGGAAGCAAGGAAAGGTGAAAATATGTGGAGGGGGGAAAGAGGAAACAGTGCAGAGAGGAGGGGCTGCGGTACCTGTAGGTTCCCCGCCATGCAACCATTGGCCAGCACTATACAGTTCAGCCAGACTTTTCCCAGGAAGAGGCTGCCAGGAGTAGGGAAGGAGGGAAAACTGAAGGGGGGATGAGATAAAGGTAGAAGGATATAGACAAAAGTGTCCACAGGAAGGCAAGAAAGATGGTGAGGGGTCTGGAGACCAAGTCCTATGAGGAAAGGTTGAAGGAGCTGGGTATGTTTAGCCTGAAGAGGAGACGACTGAGAGGTGATATGATAACCATCTTCAAGTACTTGAGGGGCTCTCATTTAGAGGATGGAGCTGTTTTCTGTTGCCCCAGAAGGTCAGACGAGAACCAACAGGTTGAAATTAAATCAAACGTTTTCAGCTAAACATTAGGAACAATTTCCTGATTTTTTTTTAAATTTTATTAGACTTATATCCTGCCCTCCCCACATTGTAGGCTCAGGGTGGGCACCAACATATAGGTCTGCAATTAAGCAGATTTACAAATTAAAACATGTTATAATAATCCATTAGAAACAATAAAATCATCAACATTAAATCAATAAAATCCAGCATTTAAAACAACAATGTGCCTCGACAGACAATAGTGTGGCCCCAATCCGCTTCTAAGATCTGTGGTCACTGGAGGGGAGGCCAGACAAAGTGGATGCCCGCTGCCTCATCTAAAAGCCCAGCGGAAGAGCTCCATCTTGCAGGCCCTGCGGAACTGTAATAGGTCCCGCAGGACCCTGATCTCATAAGGTAGCTCATTCGACCAGGCAGGGGCCAGGGCTGAAAAGGCCCTGGCCCTAGTTGAAACAAGTTGGACATCCCTAGGGCCACGGACTACCAGGAGGTGCTGGCTCATAGAACACAAAGTTCTACGGGGCTCATACAGGGAGAGGAGGTCTCAAAGATATGCAGGCCCCTGGCCATATAGGGCTTTAAAGATAAGCACCAACACCTTGAAACAGATTCGGTATTTGATAGGCAGCCAGTGCAGGTCACACAGCACCAAGCAGATATGTGCCCACACAGGCAGCAACATCAACCCCCACGCCACTGCGTTCTCCACTAGCTGCAACTTTTGGAGCAGAGTCAAGGGAAGCCCCATGTAGAGAGAATTACAATATACTAATCTGGAAGTGGCCATTGCATGGGTCACCACAGCCAGATCACGGGCTGTGAGGTATGGGGCCAACTGCCTGACCCACCTCAGATGAAAAAAGGCAGATCTGGCAGTGGCCTCCATAGTCAGTGAGACATCCAGTGAGGCATAGTTAGTGAGGCATCCAAGAACACCCCTATGTTCTTCACCTTCAGCATTGGCACCAAGGGGCCCCCGTCAAAGACTGGGAGCCCAATACTCAATCCCAGTCCCCCACGACCCAGGTGCAGGACCTCTGTCTTCAATGGATTCAATTTCAGTCTGCTCTGTTGTAACCATCCAGTCGTAGCTTATACCCTGTCCAGATGTTCAGGGGTAAAGTATGCATAAAGCCAGAGGGTCACAGCTAGAGTCACAATCTACAAAATAGCCAAAAGCTGCCAATAAGCACTGCAAATATATTCAGACAAAAATCACAAAATACATTTGAATATCAGTACAAAAGTCAATCTGATCCAGGTAGGTAATTAAAAGTCCTTAATGCAGAGTAATTGGTCATAAGTCATTGACGAAATTCCCCGGAGTATGCTTTCATTTCATGAGTATTTCCTCCAAACACACTCAGGATTACCTTACAATAATAATACAACAATGGCTTCCAGTTTAAGTGTTTCGCTGCTTGGTCGCTCCCCGTCTTGCTCTGATGTGGGTGTGCCAAGACTCGGCTGACGGGAAGAGTCCGAGATCATTCTGGACTCTCCCAGGGTCTCTGTAGGAGACCCTCAGCCTAGGAAGCTGAGGAGAGCCTCTTCCAAGGCGACGACCAAGGAATTGAGGCTCACCTTTTCCCAAAAAGGTACCGTCGCAGTAGAGCCAGTATGGCGCCCAGAGACGACTGCCGGACAAGTGGACATGATCAAAACTTTTAAAAATGCTTCTAAAGATCTCCAAGGCTGCAATGGTGAGTTAAGCAATGCTCAGGCGAAATAAAGCGACTATAAGAACCTTGGTAGTGATTAGAAGCGCCTAAGTGCAAAACAAGGGTGGAGGGAAAACTCAAGACTTCCCGCCCACACTAAAATCAAAGCGGTTTTAAATCGGAAATAAAAGACTTTAAGCAAAAGCAAGCGTATAAGAATTTAAGTGAACTCAAAAGCTGCAAGAGGATACAAAGTTGATTAAAATTGCTTAACTTTTATCTTGTTTTGGGAAACTTACTTCTTGTTGATATTATGGCTGGGAGAGTGTGGAGGGCTACGCTGGAGAAAAAAACATTGACCAGAAATAATCAACCAACGAATTCCTCCCAGAACCAGGCAGTAACTGCAGATATATCTACACTATTAGCGAATGCACTGCGCCCCCTAATAGAACAGATGACTAACCTCAACAGCAAAATAGACAATGTGCAGAAGCAATTGACTCAAATGGACAAAAGAACCTCAGCAACTGAAAATATGCTAAAAAAATCGAAAAACAGACTGAGAGTATTAACAAAAGTGTAGATGAAGCAGAGAAAGAAAGTTCATCCGACAAAGCACAGCTAATACAGCTCCAGCTGGAAAGATCCATGTATGTTCTACGCTTCTAGCAGATCCCTGAAGATAAGAACAAAGACTTAAAGGAGCTTATAGCAGAAGCTCTTGCACCATTAATGGATTATAAACAAGAAGAACTACTGAAGGAGATGGACTGGGCTTACAGAACTTATCCAGACTTTATAAAGAAAAATAAACTCCCGGGAGAAATATGTTTCAAATTCACGAAGCAATCTACCAGAGACCTGGCGCTGAAATCTACACAGGGGAAATCCTTGAAAATCAAGAATGAGGAAGGAAACTTTATAGGGAATTCACTCTTGCTCTACAAAAAAAGGGAATACCCTACCGATTCCCTGAAGGACTGAATTTTAAATACGAGGATAAAAGAATTAAGATTGACTCTGTTCCTAAGGCAAAAATATTTATGGACCAATATTTAAACCCAACGCAAAGTAAGAAAGAAAAGAAGACAAAAACTAATGAGGAGGAAGAAGAAGACCTACATGCAATCAACATCAAATTAATTTTCTAGACATCATGGACGCTAGTAAGAAAGAAAAGAAGACAAAAACTAATGAGGAGGAAGAAGAAGACCTACATGCAATCAACATCAAATTAATTTTCTAGACATCATGGTTCATTTTGATGGTACAAAGCTATCTACCAGACTTTATAGAAAACCTACAGTTAAAAATTCATTACTAAGGTGGTGGACTTCCGGGTTCCGGGCTCTACAAGAGCAGACGCACAGGAGTTAGCTCCACACGTCTTCTGACTTTTCCTAATACTTCTATGGATTAATACAACCGTCAAAGTTCTCTCCCATAAAAATTCATTACTAAGGTGATAGTCACCACCACCCTGCACATGGCAGAAGGAATTTACCTTACACTCAGTTAATAATAATAATAATAATAATAATAATAATAATAATAATAATAATAATAATACTTTTGATTTATTAATCGCTTTCCCCACAAGTGGGCTCAAAGTGATTTACAGTTACTCTTTAGACAGGAGACTAACAATGTTTCATAGGGGATAGGGAAGACAACATATAATTCATTTTAATTGCACACGTCGTAACTGCAGGGTGGAAACGTTTCTGGCTTGGCTCAGTCATGTCCCGAACGGCTTGATGACGTTGGGGCTTCAGGACCCATATGTCGTGTCGCCACACTGCCACCGCCTGGCCGGAGCATCCCACTGCAGGGATTTTTCGTAGCCAAGTAGATTCTTCCGCCTTCTGGATCCTGGACCAGGACGTCCCCAACCAACAGCTAACACCTTCCCAGAGGGGAGTTGGTGTGCCCACCCTCTCTAAGGAGTGGTTCCCATTTTATCTACTTACCGAGGCTTTTGAATCGCTGGGTGGACGATGACCTGGGAACAACAGGCTGGCTCCTCACACCAGCGCGGGGCTCGAACTGACACAGTTCAGATGTTAAGACAGTGGGATATACCCACTGTGCCATCGCTCCCCTTTAAGGTTACAAAGAAATTGCTCTGACATCACAGATATCCAGAGGGAATCCTTAACTTTAATTAGTAATTTAACAAAGAGAGAGTACCCTTTTTAAATTATTATTATTTTATTACTACAAAACTACAAAGGAAGAGGGAAGTGCATGGACACTAAGACTAAACAAGAGCCAGTTTGGTGCAGTGGTTAATTTAACAAAGAGAGAATACCCTTTTAAAATTATTATTATTTTATTATTACAAAACTACAAAGGAAGAGGGAAGTGCATGGACACTAAGACTAAACAAGAGCCAGTTTGGTGTAGTGGTTAAGTGCGCAGACTCTAATCAGGGAGAACCGAGTTTGATTCCCCACTCCTTGTGAGGATTTGTCTCCTCCCGGGATGGTCCGCTGCTGGTCGCCGTGACGGTGCGACTGAGGATTCCTCCAGGACGCT